CTCAGGTAGGTGGGAACAAAGGCCACCCACACACTGGTAAATATCAATATGCTGAAGGTGATGTTTTTGGCTTCATTGAAACGGTCCGGGAAATCCTTGGCTAGAAAAGCAGCCACCAGACTTATCAGAGCCAAGAGTTCAATGTAACCAATTCCTAAAAAGAAGAAAGTAACCGAACCTTTGCTGCACAATAAAATAATGGTGTCTGTATCTGTATTGGCATCTGGATAGGGGGGATGTCACACAATCCACGTGACTGACAACAAGATCTGAAGCAAAGAGCAGAGACAGATCAGGGCAATGGACCATCTAATGTTTAGAAGTCTCCTCATCTTGCTCTCGGGTTTTGTGGCATTAAAGGCGATGATGACTGTCAGGGTTTTAGCCAGTACGGAGGAGATGGAGACAGTAAAGGTTCCTCCAAATGCTGCTTGTCGTAGAAGACAACTTATCTGTGATGGCCGGCCAATGAACAGCAAAGGACAGAGGAAACACAACAGAAGGGAGAGAAGGATGTAGCTCAGACTTCGATTATTGGCTTTCACTACTGGAGACTCGTGACACTTCCGAAATTCCAAAAATTGCCATTGTTGTCATGGAGAAGAGCAAAGACACTGAAGTTAAAATGATCCCTAAAGTTTCAGAGTAGGACAGGAAGTCAACGTTCTTCGGAATACACCGACTCATTTCTTGATTGGGTTTCTCAAACTGAGAGCACTTTATACACGTTTGGGAGTCTGAAAAAAAAGTCTAATGTATTGGAATGTATTTATGATATATTGTATATTTATTATGTGTATAATATGGCAGTGAGTGCTGACAAGTGCTATTTATACATTCACAGATTTCACTCAAAAAGAAGAACCGGGCTAAAATGTGATATCGGCTCCTTAAAGTAATATTAAACTCCCAAACTTCTCTTCAATAATGAATCAGGATCCAACAAAGATACATTTCCCAGCCAGGTATCTCCCCTTCTCTCCTCTATACTGCACCTGATTGAGATCACAGACGGCTTTAAGAGACCCCACACCTTTCTTCTACTTCCCGGGCTTTTGTCCCCCCCTTCCTGTCTGGTAAAACTGTTGTCACTGTGACAGTAAGTGAAGGATGATCACCCTTACAGAGCCATACATAGCAGTAAAAACCCAACAAGGGTTCTAACTATTCCCCACTCTACGTTCAGAAATCTTTCTCACTTTTTTCCTGTATACACAAGCTGCCATCAGTGCAAAACAATTGCAATAATAAATGTACAGTATGTGACTATAATACCTGACTTTTTTCCCCCTTCAAGTCTTTTTTTTACACCTTTAGTTGGTGTTTTAACAAGAAGAGTTTGGGAGCATTGCAAAAAGCAGACTTTGCAGGGTCCATCATTAGGTCCCCACAAACCCTACACCCTCCAGCTACAGCTGAGCTTGGCTTTTCCCTGCTGTGTTGGCTGTCAATCAGAAGCCAGGGGGTGCAGTATTTGTATTATTAATACCACAAAGCACAATGTGTGCATAGAAAGTTTGTGTCCATCATGAATAGTCACCTGTTATGTTGGATATTTCTCCCGGCGCACATTGGACACAGTCATAGCAACACGAGGACTCGCCTTCCCTTTCCACTTTTTTATTGCCCAGTCTGCAGGGATCACAGCAACGACTCCACGGTGTCTGCATTAAATGCATATTTCAGTTTTTGAAGGGAATTGCAAAACAAAATAGTTGTCAGTCATCATCAATAGCAATAGTAATGTTGACACTACAGTAGTGATATAATGATTAAGATAATAATAATACAATACAATGGCCCCGCTGGTAATTTTGGGTCCCCCATACCTATTTAGCAGTTACCGGCCCCTTTTTCCAGCTCCAGCAACACTGACACTTCTTGTAATGAACAGGTTCAAGTCGTAGGACCTTTTTTTAGTATGTATTACTCCGTAACAAAACTCAGGAGAGAGTGTTTAGGGTTGCAGGATATCCAAAAACAGCAAAGTAGAGGACACCATCTTCACTTATAGCAACAGGTCCTATAAGAGTGACCAAAAATATATTCTTGGGACAGAAAGTATCCAGGATAAATCTCTGACTCTGTGGGAGCAGTCACAGTACTTCTAGTGCACCAACTGTAATGGTTCCCGGGGACATCGCCGTTCCGAGTCGCGGTCTCGAGGTGAAGCTCCCCGGGCCACCGACGTCAGGAGGGATCGGCCCCTTCCGCGTCATAAGACGCGACCTCGCAATTGTCTGGCGTTCCAGCAACCGATGCGGACGCCAGACGAGTGCCGGTCAGCAGACAGCCACCACCTACTACTTCGCTCCCTGAGTTAGGGAAGGAGGACCCTCAGCAGAGTGTTGCCACTCTCGTTTTTGCCCTCGCAGGGATCTCTGCGCTCGCGTGCCCAAAGACAAACAGCCAAGACCTACTCTGGACAGCTAACAGCAAGTATACCCCTCTGGGCTGCTGCCCATTGGGACTCGGTGTACTCTTATGTGGAAGTTACTATACTCACACACTGAAGCTTAAATCATATGTGGTGAAGATATTATATTGGCACACTAAAGCTAAACTCAAATGTGGTGAAGAGTTTATACTGGGACACTAAAGCACTGGTCATATGTGAAGTAACATATGTACACTCTATGGGAGTATTGATATGTGATCTCAACATAGGTATTCCTCATTTATCCAAACTCGTTGACCTTGAGTAATTCCGTTTAATTCATATCACTCATCCTATCTATACTTGCTGTTAGCTGTCCAGAGTAGGTCTTGGGTGTTTGTCTTTGGGCGCCCTAGCGCAGAGATCCCTGCGAGGGCAAACACGAGAGTGGCAACACTCTGCTGAGGGTCCTCCTTCCCTAACTCAGGGAGCGAAGTAGTAGGTGGTGGCTCTTCTGGCGTCCGCATCGGTTGCTGGAACGCCAGACAATTGTGAGGTCGCATCTTATGACGCGGAAGGGGCCGGTCCCGTCTGACGTCGGCGGCCCGGGGGCGGAGCTTCACCTCAAGTCCGCGACTCGAAACGGCGACGTCCCCGGGAACCATTACACCAACTGGCTTCTAATCTTCTTTATAGTAGTCATGGGCGAGAAGTGTCTCTTACAGGGTCCAGACAGCAGCTCTTCTCAGCTTCTCTGCAACAGTCCTTGGTATGCAGATCCTTCCTCCAGCTAAACCTCCTTCAGGCTTCTTTCCAGCATCTTCTTAGGCCTCTTATCCCCCAGCACCTGCCACATGCTGAGGCCCCAGCCAGACATCTTGCCACAGGCTTCCTCCTAAGGAGAAGCCCCAGGGCAGATAGAGTTCTGGAGAAGTGCTTAGTAAGGTGCCCGAGTATTTATCATCTTCTCCACCTTTACCTCTGAGTCATCCTGCTCAGGGATTGGTCAGACTCAGATACACACTCATAATCTGGTAACTGACCCTCCCACACTGTACGCTGAACGCCATCCCAGCAGCAGGGAGAAATAGTCAGTCCACCAGGGTTAGGGACAACCGGCAGAACACAGAACAATTGATGCATAGACTGTCTACAGTCCAGCCAGAAACACACCAAATTTAGTAGTGACAAAATTTGGCCCTAGGGGGCCCTAGACAACTGAACATTGTAAACATGAAATTAACAATACTCTTCTTTCAATAAACAACACAAATTCTCCAACCAACGTACCTGATTAAAGTAGGGCCCCCACAGATGGGACGTATTGTAAAAGTGTAGCTGGTCTCCAATTGGGGATTCTGCATCAAATTTTCCAACTTTAGATGATGTAAGTTGTGTAAGTTGCTTGAAAATATGTTTCATGACATCAAAAGACGCCGGG